GAAACTTTCTGCATTGGTTCTTTTTTATTTATTTTAATTGAAGTATAGTTGATTTACAATTTTGTGTTAATTTCTGCTGTATAGCAAAGAGACTCAGTTGTACATATACATTCTTTTTTATATTATTCGTTTTTTTCTTGACTAATTGTCCTGGCTAGAAGATTCAGTACAAATGTTCAACAGAATGATGAGAGCAGACATCCCTATCTTGTTCACAATCTTAGGGGAAAAGCATGTGTTAAATATAATATTATTCACTACTAAATATAATAGTAGCTGTGGGTTTATACTTTCTCTTCTAAATTCTGATTTTTTTTGCATGTGATTCCATATCAGTACCTACAGAGAACCTTCGTTCTCTGTAAAAGTGGCATAATATTCCATTGCATGAATATAACAAAAATTTTTTAGTCAAACTTCTGATTGATATTTAGGTGACTTCTTCACTTACAAGTCATGCTGTAATATGCAGTCTTGCTACATGTTATTTTGCATATGTATGTATATCTCTAGGATAAATCTTAAAAGAATTGTTGTAATTTTGGTAGATATAGTCGAACTGCTCACTAGTGTGTTCCCACCAGAAAAGAATGTGCGAGAATGCCTGTCTTCTGCCATATTCTCACCAACGTGGTATGTTACCAGAATTTTATCCTTGCCAATCTCATTAAAAAAAAAAAAGTATTTCAGTGTAGTTTTAGTTTGCACTTCTCTTATCATGAAGGAGGTTGTATATCTTTTCATACGTTTAAGAAGTATTTGAATTTCCTTTTTTTGTGAATTTTTCATATTCTTTGCCCATTTTTCTTAATGTGTTGCTGATTTTTTTCTTACTGGTTTATAGAAATCCTCCCTCTGAGCTCTCTCTCTCTCTCTCTATATATATATGTATGTGTGTGTGTGTGTGTGTGTGTGTAGGGAAATTAACCTTTGGTCTGCAATATGATTTGTAAGTATTTTGACCTTGCTGGTTTTTGACAAGCAGAAATTTTAAATGTTCAATTTTAAATGTTCAATGCCATTTATTTTATTGGGCTTGTTTTTGTTTGTTTAAATTATAGCTTCCGGATTTGGCATCATAGTTATGTCTTTCCCACTCAATGATTATAAAAACATTCTTTTATATTTTCTCTGAATACTATTAAAGCCAAGCTTTTTAAAAAGCCCTTTCTCCTTTTAAAAAGTATAAGATTCCCATTTTTAGTTTTTTGACATCTGTGTGGGTCTCCTAATTCTACAGGTATCTCTAAGAGTGGCTCAGCTCCCTGAATGCCTTGAGACATATTTTATCTAATCTAAGAATTTGAACTTTTTTTGGTTAACTAGATGACAAGTTCTTTACTCATTAGAGAATTCAGTTCTAATTTAGTTACACTTATTTCATCCATTTTTTTCAACAGAACAGATCTCATCCTTTTTTTTTTCATCCTTTTTTATATCATGTATGCAGAAGCAAAATAAAAATTGAATTCTCCATTCTCTCTGTCTCATTTCTACTTTCTGCTCAAATTCTTATTTTTTGGTTACTCGTGAACTTTTTATCTTTTTTGTTCAAAAGTCTCTAGAATAAAAGAAGAGGATGTCTCTTGACCACAGTCAATCTTATCTCCTATTTACTTAGCTTTTTCAAGAAATACTTAATGAGCAACTACAATATACTTGGCCATGTTCTAAGAAGACAGAAACAAAATTTATGATATTTTTGTTTTTAAGGGAGAAAGATAAGGTTACTACACATAATCGCAATACCATTATCATTACGAGGTATTTATAGTGCATAACTTTTGTTAAAATTTTTTGTTTGCAAGCATAGATGGACTGTGCTTGGGTAAAATACCCAGAAGTTTTGAAAGAACTTTTCTTCTCTGCAGTTCATTTTTCTAAAGTGCTGTGGTGAAGGATTCTCAGAACTGAACATACAAGAGGGCTTAGGCTATATTTGTATCAACTCCAAGTCTACAAAGCCAGTCATGGCATGTTCTTCCAAGCACTTGTGGCAGGTGACACATATTTTTATTGAGTTATGCTAGCTTTCTAATAATGCTTTTTCTTAAAGGAAGCAAGACCCATTTATTCAGATAGCATGTGATTCATATCTGTTTCTCTGGTCCGTTTTCAGTATTTCCTTTGTCTTTTTTGTTTGTTTGTTTGGTTAGTTAAATTCAACTTGGTACTTGCCTCTTGAGAGCTACTAAAGAAATTCTGACTTTAAAGTGAATAAAGGTCTCAACTTCTTTCACATTATCCTGGAACTTAAAAAGTTACATATTAACAAATATGGACCTGTATTTGCTTTCTTGGAAAAACTAAAATTGATCTTGATTGAACTCAACTATATCTCAGAAATTAATTTTCTGTATTAATATAATTATAGCTGCAGTTTCACTTAAAAACTTTCTCTTCCTCTGAGAATTTATGTATTGTGTAGTGAGATTTTTTTTCCTACCATAAAACCAGCCTGTACCAGGTTTTTGATGTGCAAAAACCTTCAGGTATATTTGTTTTTATAGCATAATTCTGCCCTCCACTTGACTTCCTCTTTCTCTCTTGCAATCAGTCTTTCCACATTCCCTCCTGTCCTCTCCGAATTTGGGAGCAATAAGGTAAGTGAACATAGAAAGGAGGGGAAGTGTATTAGAGTTTTCAAGTCAATGATCGTTTCTGTTCCTTTACTTTTCCCAAAGACTTGAATTTAATCAAAGTCTACCAATATGTAAAGTAACATAGGATATTGTAGAAACTATATTGGCTTAGTACCTGAAAATTTTAAGCCAGTCATTATCTGTTCCGTGGAGAAACAGGTGATCTTTATAGCTCTTTGAGCAAACAGGTGAAGGTTGAAAGAGTGGGTGGTATTCTTGAACCATAAGAGTATAACTTAACACATCTAGACTGGAAGAGCCATGTTAAGAAGCAACAACTCAATTAGCAGTCAATGAGAGCATATATCACACATTTAAATGAGTGAGAGTAATGCATAATGTTTTAGATTAAATAATTAACTGCAAGATGTTGATAGAGTAGCTGGCTGTATAGTGATAAAAGTCGAATAAGCTTTAGTATGTAAGAGCTCAAGCCTTGATGTTGGACTACCTGACTTAGCCACTTGCTAGTAGTGTGAACTCAAGCAATCACTGTATCTCATTTTGCATCATCAGTGTCTGTGTCTATAAGGTGAAGATGATAATAACACACCTACCTTTGCTGAGTACCCACACACAATCTCATAATGTGCTGAGAATATAGTTCCTGGCACAAAACAAAAGCCCTCAATAAATGTTAAAGTTCTTTTCTTCCTTTTTTTTTAAGATTTCTTATGCTACCATAAGAGTATTAAAAGTACTTGCAAGGTTAACAATGCTACATTAGATTTATTAACAACGAATATTTGTATTAAAACAATTAGCAATTCTAGCTTGTTTTATAAGAGTTAAGTAATTGTGTACATTACTTTTTTTCCCAATGGTGATAATCATTCCGTGATATATGTTGAATGTCTTCATCATCCTGTCTTTATTAGGCTTGTATTACACTTTAAGAAAATTATAAATTTACCTGTTCTCACTCTTTGTGGCATTCTCTAGTCTTCTTAATTTTTTTCTTATCTAAATCTAATAGAAACTCATTCCTCTGTTTAAATTATATTTGCTCTTTTGACATTTTTCTTTGTTTTATAACAGTTATAATTTCTTCTGTATCAGTTTATTTCATATGACTTAAAATTTCTTCTTCAGATGTGTTTCTTTAAAATGTTGCTAATGTATAGCCCCTCTCTTCTACTTAAACTTATTTCAATCTTGTGAATTACCTGGAAAAATACATTTAAATGTAAAAATGCATTTTTAAAATTAGAAAGTATATCATTTAGAAGATGACATACAAAAACCAAGATTGTTAGACAGCTCATTAACAATTTTACATTGATACATGTGAAATGGTATTTTTGTTTAAATAAAATATAATTTTAAAATAAAAAAATTAGAAGATGTGTTAGAACTCTGAAGGATCTACTCCGTATGGTAGAAATAACATCTAAAGTATTATAGGGGTAAGTTAAAGTTTGATACTGTTGCCGCTTGAAATTTGGATTTTTCGTCACTTACAGAATTGAATCTTAAAATGTTAAGTGTGAGATTTGTCATCTTGCATGTTTTCATTTTTAAGCTAAATCTTTATAGTTATGCTCTACCTGTCTTCAAAATCGGACAGCAACCATTTATCAGAAAAACAACACTTAAAAGATAGAGACTGCTTAGTGTTCATTCTAAGTTTGAATTTAAAACTCTGCTTTACTCCCACTATTAAAGGATAGTTAGGACTACGTATTTCCTGTGACAGTATGATTCATGGTTCATTTTCTGTGGAAAAGGTTGTGAGATTAAGAAAAACAGATCAGCTTAAGATATGGAGACAGAAGGGATCATTCCCCTAATGAGATCATATGGTCCTTCAAGGCTCAGTTCAAGACTTGCCTTTCCTGAATTGCCTTTTTCTGCTGAATTTTCAAAATTGGAAAATGGTAGCTTTAGCCTTATCATTTGGGGTTCTCAAAATGATTTTCATTATTTTTTAATGACAATCCATATAACGATTACATTCCTATTTTTATTATGCTTAATCATTTAATAAAGCATAAACGGTATCATTTAGAGTTTGAGTCTAGACTAGAAAGTCATTAGGAAATTCTGTCAGGTAGGAAATCTAATACATTTTTTAAATTATCATTGGCCTATTCAGTTTTTTCATGGTTTAGTTATAAAAATGAGTTTTCCATTACTTTTAGGGTAGGAATAGAGGCCAAGATTTATTATATTGCATGATAACATTTACTCTGAAATCTATATATTAACTCTCATTGAAAGATTTGGTTGCAATCAATCAAACTTTCAAGTAATATCTTTTAAAACTTTCTTTATAAAAAGGAAACAAATCAAGAAGAAAACCACGGTCTGGAGCAAAACAGTGTGTGTTATTATTTTAATATACTGTTGTCTTTTCAGGCTCACGAGAGGCTAGAAGATTCAAAACTAGAAGCTGTCAGTGATAATAACTTGGAATTAGTCAACGAAATTCTTGAAGATATCACTCCTCTAATAAATGTGGATGAAAATGTGGCAGAACTGGTTGGTATACTCAAAGAGCCTCACTTCCAGGTAAACTTTCCCTATTGCTCTTCTTTCCAAGTCCCCTATATTCCCAAAATATTCTCCTGTAGTAGTTAAGTTTCAGTTTAAGATGATGTTTTTTTAAAGATTATTTAGGGCCATATTTTGCAAATTCCAGCTTAGATATTTTAATATCCCATTCTGCTGGGACTACATAAACAGACACACATGCTATACAGATGTATAGGGTCTGTCACAGAAATACATCAGAATGGATTTTTCTTTGTGTAATTAAAAAAAAACAACAGCCCTGCTTCACCATCACACCACATGCTGGGGACGTTTTTCTCCCTGTGATAGTGCATTTTTCTTCCTCACTACCACTGTTTCCCAGCCCTCCTTGTGACCAGTTTTCAGTATTGCTTCTAAGACTGGGGTGCAGTTGATGACCTTGGAACAAAAGAGAGCTGTATGATATAGAAACTATGACATAGCATACTTTCCATAGTTAAAAAAAAAATAAAAATAAATGCAATTTAAGCATTTGTCTATGTAGGTGAAGAGTTAATCAGTTTACCAAAGAAGAATCAGTTTCAGAAGAAAAGGAGGTCGAGGAGACTTCTTATAAACCTGTAATTAAGACAGTGTGGTATTGGGGCAGTATTAGAAAAATAGAAACCCCAGAAATACATCCACAGACAAATGGCAACTTGATTTATGACCGAGATAGTACATTTTAGTGGAGAAAGAATGGACTGTTCAATAAATGGTCCTGGGATAAAGTGTCACCTGCTTGCCATTGCAAATCTTAGCATTAAAAATCAAATGGCAAAACCCCTTTGCTGGGCTTCCCTGGTGGCGCAGTGGTTGAGAGTCCGCCTGCCGATGCAGGGGATGCCGGTTCGTGCCCCAGTCTGGGAGGATCCCACGTGCCGCGGAGGGGCTGGGCCCGTGAGCCATGGCCGCTGAGCCTGAACATCTGGAGCCTGTGCTCCGCAGCGGGAGGGGCCACAGCAGTGAGAGGCCCACGTACCGCAAAAAAAAACAAAACAAAACAAAACCCCTTTGCTTTTTCTCAGAGACTTTCTGTGACTCTCTTAACAATGTTACTGCAAAAATTATGTACATTTATAGTGAGATGGTTCCTACGTAAATCTGTATCTTAGGTACAAAAAATACAAACACATGTCAAAGACAGCTTTGTGAAGAGGCCAGTTAGTTGAGGCCTTATAAGGCATACTAAGTTATTTGGACTTTATCCTGAGGACATTGGGAAACTTTGGCTCAGGATTGCAGGGGTGGGTGGGTGGTGGTGGTTATTAAACAGGGAGAGGTCAGATTGTGGAGCCAGATGGTTTTGTACCAAGGCAAGAAGTTGTGACAGCAGTACAGATAGTGGGAAATGTGAGGATTTTCAAGTTCTAAGCAGCAAAATCAATAGGGCTTAGTGAGTGGTTACATGTGACAGCTGCAGAAGAGAAATGTGGGAAGTTGATAAGGACAGGATTTCTGACAGACAATTGATGGCATCCACTCTAGGAGAACTGTTTTGGACATGTTAATGTTAAGGTAACTGGCCATATTAAGTTTGCAATACCTTAGAAGCATCTGGTAGAACTTTTCAAGCACGCTGTATTTTTTATATAAGTATATAAAATTTAATGCATAAATTTATATAAAGTTTAATAAGTACATAAAATTATGAAATGGCAACAAGTAAAAATTAAGACATTGCATTTTTACTACCCAATCCACTACTGTACTACCATAGTGCATATTCCTCCATACTTTTTCTAGGCATAAATGTACATACATATTTTTTTCCTCTACTGATTGCAGTCATTTTGCACAAGCTATTTTGTAACTTACCCTTTTTTTTCAGTTGTTGATTTCCACTTTTTCATTTCAGTGGACCTCTGTCTCATGTAGTACACATTCTGTATTCACACATCTCCATTTCCCCCAAAATATTCTTTATAGCTGCTTTGTGCATATGAGTTTTCAACCTAGGTCCATGTGAGGCATCTGGGTGGACCATCCCTTTTTCCCTTGATTATGATGTTGACCCATGGAAGAGACCAGGCCATTTTCCTGCAGAATCCACTCCCTGGATTTATCTGGTTGCTTTCCTGCTGTGTTGTTTATTTATCCCTTCTATTTCTTATAAACAGAAGTTTTACCTAAAAGATGGTTCAAATTAAATATTTGGAACTAGAATGCATCTTAAGTAAGGTGATACAACATAAATTAATCTACATCAGACAACGTATAATACCTGGTTGGTCCATCACTCTTGTTGCTGAGATTAGTCCTTGATTAAGAGCAATGACAACCTGATCCTACCCTTGAAAGCCTTTCCACTAGGAAGTAATCTAGTATGTTATTATTCTAGCATTATACAAATGCTGTTTCCTTTCAACCATTTACCTACTGACAAACATAAATGAATAATCCTTGCCTGAATCAATATTTTCATTAGAGGTTGCAACATGACATTTTTCAAATTCTCTCATTCTACATTTATTAGCTGGTGTTCTTATATAAAGTAGAGCTTTTCCTCATCAACTGAGCTGTTTAGTTAACCTGTAATGCATTTCCTACTGAAAAGTTAGGGAAATGCTAGATTCTTTTCTTTACCAACTTTCAAAGTAAAGAATTGTTTAAAATAGCAATCTCAAATGGTAACAAAGGAGGTTTTTTCAGTCCTGTTTTTTAAATAGCATTGTGGACTTACGGAGTTTTCATTAATTCAGTATGTTTCAATCCTCTACAATCCTTAGTTTTGTTTTGATTTGTCAAATTATCATGACTTTGGCCAGTTGTGGGCAGATTTTTAGTATATGAATCTGAAGCTTATGAGAGTTCTGGACCAAGGGAGTTCTCAGTGTATAAGCAGTGGTTCAAGTCACAGGAGTAGATAATATTGCCTAAGAAGAGTATATACGGTAAAAACTAAGCAGCCCAGATTAGTGATTTGAGTAACTTCCAGCATGTATAGGAATAATACTTATATATGGATTTGTGAATATTTTTCTTCAGTCTCTGATACTATTTTCATGAAATGACCAAAAATTACCAATTAAACCCGTATACTGATTGCTTCTGTTCTGAACCTGTTGACATTTTCCCCCTTTTATTTTGATCTTTTTTTTGTTTGAATTTGCACTCCCACCATTCAAAAAAATTTTTTTAATTTAGGTTTAAGCTGAGTATACACAATTACAGTATAAATAAAAATAAATATAACCCCCCAAATTATAAGAAATTCCTAGAAAGCTAGAGCAAAGTCATCCATGAAGATAGCACATATACAGTATATGTAGGAGGTAAAAGTGTACTATATTCAGGACCATTACTGGCTCTTTTTTCCCACCAAAAATGTAAATTTTATACCTTTATTAGTAATATGGAACTTCTTATCACTGATATAAGATGCTAATTTTTATTCACTGGATATCTTTTTAAGATATCCAGACATTTTGTACATGTGAAAAATATGTGGTGTTGCTAACAACAGGCTTAGGATAAAACTTACGGTCCTTGCCATTTTAATTTGTATGATAGTTAACAAATAGGAATTGATAAATATTGAGTGACGGTGATGACAGTGGTGGCAATGAAATTCATTGCCTCTATTGCATCACACTTGGACATCTAGGTTCAGTTTCCATTAAACATAAGGCTTTAAAAAAAAGTTACAAAACTATCAGTCTCTAAAAAAGTCACAAAACTATTAGTCTCTTCAGATCTTTTAAAACAAGGAATACAATATTGTTTGATAATAAGTAAAATGATACATGCTTATATGGCATAAAAAGATTCCTTATATACTTGATTTAACTTATATTTGGGAATTTAATAATTGTGCCTTGGAAATTTTTAGTACTCTACTGGGATAATGAACTAAGTTATTTTTAATAACTTATTCCATTTGTAATTAATAACCACAGGCTGTTTTGAATCCTTCTAGTCACTCTTGGAGGCCCATGATATTGTGGCATCAAAGTGTTATGAGTCACCTCCATCAAGCCCAGAAATGAATAATTCTTCTATCAATAATCAGTTATTACCAGTAGATGCCATTCGTATTCTTGGTATTCACAAAAGAGCTGGGGAACCACTGGTGAGTTGATAAGTCAGTACCCTCTTAAATCTGAAATCTGACATACTAGTGGCTGAGTCACTACTCTATCTCATTTTTTTTCTCTTTCATAATTTGTAGCATTATGAAAACTTCATTCATGTTTGTTTTATCAGTCTTTTTTGGCCTGTGTATAAAATACACAGCTGATGCTCTCTCAACTTGATTTAGCATGCAAAATTAAACCAAAGTTAAAAGTTAAACTGAATTAGAGGCGAGAAGAAGTTTGCCGATGAGTAGCAAAAATTTCAAAAGATAACTATTTTTTTCCTATACCCTTTGAAGAAATAAACTCAGGTTGCTTGCTAATTATAGTATCAAAACACAGAAGAAGGTCGTTATGAAAAATTGAAGTGACTATACTATACTCCAATAAAAATTAATTAACAAAAATTGAAAACATTGGTAGGACTCTATAAGTAATGAAGTTTACAATTTCCTGTTGACATGCTTATTTCTGGGCTCTAACTATAAGAACAGTGAAGTGGAAAAATGAGAAAAGCCGGGAACAAGGCCATCAGAATGCACAAATACATTTTCTTGCTCCTTCAAGCTTCCTTTTATCCTGTGGAATGCAAGCTAAGATATGTTTCATTTTCAGTTACCCTTGCCATGGAAGTCCTTTTTTAAGGGATGGTATGTCAGCGGTCCCGAACCACTGGGGCACCAGGGACCGGTTTTGTGGAAGACAGTGTTTCCATGGGGTTGGGGGGGATGGTTCAGGCGGTAATGGGAGTGATGGGGAGCGGCAGATGAAACTTTGCTCCCTCACCCACCACTCACCTCCTGCTGAGCGGCCTGGTACCTAACAGGCCACGGTCCCCTGGTATATGTTATCACAGTTGCACATGGTTTAATGAGATTAGAGTATTGAGTCAGGAGAGAATGTGGGAAAAGTAGGAATGATTCACTTACCTACTTTTGGAATTATCTTCTTATACATACATGTTCATGACTATTTAAGATTTCTTCCTAACAACCTAAAATCAATAATTCCATTCCTTATTTCCTTTAGGGTGTAACATTTAGGGTTGAAAATAATGATCTGGTAATTGCCCGAATCCTTCATGGAGGGATGATAGATCGACAGGGTCTGCTTCATGTGGGAGATATCATTAAAGAAGTCAATGGCCATGAGGTTGGAAACAATCCAAAGGAATTACAAGAATTACTGAAAAATATTAGTGGAAGTGTCACCCTGAAAATTTTACCAAGCTATAGAGATACCATTATTCCTCAACAGGTTAGTAATAAAGTTCTTGGTAATATTAAGAATGCTTTTATTTCTTTAATCACACTGTTGGGTAGAGCCACCAGTTGCTACTTTTTTGCTAAAGAGAAGAGAAGAGAAAAAACTACTGGTTTAATTGTTCTGAAGTGCCTTATTTCGTCATGGGTGAATTTTTGGATTTTTAAACAATATCATCTTACTATTCAAAAGGAATTAGGAAAGAGATCTCTTTGTGAACACCATGAACCCTAGCATTTCAGTAACCTACAGCTAGGTATGAGAAAAACCCTAAAGCCTTTTAGTCATTAATCTAGCAAATGTTTTTAACACCTGTTATGTTCCACGCTGTGTGAGAAAATAAGCATGTAGTCCTGATCACTTCTAGCTTAGTGTTCCTCTGATGGGCTAAATAGAGAATGAGGCCAGAGAGAGAGGATGGGTCCAAAATGAAAAGAATCTTGAACACCTGATTTGTACGCATTTGGTCTACATTTTGTAACTAATTTTTAGGTAAAATAGATTATTAAGCAGAGGAGTGTTTTAATGACAGTGATCATCTAACCTCATTATGTTGAGTGAATTTCAGAAAGGAGAGAGATGAGATCGTGTAGTCAGGAAGCAGATTTTTGAAGGTGTGGGGTAATTTGTGAAAGGCAACTCTAATGGAAGGCTGTGACGACTGCTTTGGTTCAGATACCTGTGCCACCGCTTACTAGATTATTCTCTCTGTGCTTTTGTTTTCTCATCTATATAGTTGGGATATTCCTTTTCTTAAAAGATTGTTGTGAGGATCAAATGAGTTAATTCACATTAAGCTCTCACAGCAGCACCTGGCACATCCTGAGTGCTCAGCAAGTAGTTGCTGCTATTGTTGTGATGGTGGCGATGAGGTGGTGGTGTTGTGATTGTAAAGAAGTGGTAAAGAAGGAAAAAGTAATAAAGTAGTGGCAAAGGAACAGTTGACAATTATGGTAAGCATGTTGGAACTGAGGAGAGAGAGGGTTGTTGAATCTAGATACTGAAGACATAGGAAATATCTATCAGTGTTTTAGATGCCTTTAATTATTCAGGTTTATTCCATAAATTTATTGTTTCATGTGTGAATAAAATTTTAGGTCTTTTACATAAGATACTGCCAGTATATTTTAATATTGATAATATAATTTAAAAGACTAGTGTTTATATTTACATACAATTCTTTGAAATAATGTGTGTTGAATACCTGCTTTATATTCTTTGGAGGATAAGAATAGTCAATCATGGGGCTTCCCTGGTGGCGCAGTGGTTGAGAGTCCGCCTGCCGATGAGGGGACACGGGTTCGAGCCCCGGTCCGGGCAGATCCCACATGTCGCGGAGCGGCTGGGCCCGTGAGCCATGGCCGCTGAGCCTGCGCGTCCGGAGCCTGTGCTCCACAACGGGAGAGGCCACAACAGTGAGACGCCCGCGTACCGCAAAAAAAAAAAAAAAAAAAAAGAATAGTCAGTCATGAATTTTAGTATGTAAATTGGATTTCTGAAAATACAGAGGCTTATAGTGAACTTTGGTTCAAATGAAGGGTAGAAACCTTGTCTTCAAGGAAAAGAATCATGAAAGAACTGGTGTTAGAAGTTAGACATTTTAAATAACTAGTACCTCTCAGACTACTTTTTTCCTCAGTTGACACCTGAGTAGATTGGAAAAGTAGAACTTAAGATTTATGTATTTATTTTTAAATTATATGTTAATTGTGATAGTTAGAAAGATTTTCTTTTTCCCCTGTGGTTCACACTTCAGAATTCCTACCAGCTCACCATGGCTATGATGGACTTTTATGGGAAAAAGTAATTTTTGTGATATTAGTAGCTAGGGCTTTGGCCCAAATTCCTTTGTAGATTCTGCACCTGGTGAATGGTCTGAATGATGTGAAATGCAAGGGTATTTAGCCCTATCTTAGGCATACATTATTGTCCATCCTGTGCCTTCTCAAACTCTGCTTTTTATTTAGCCTTCAGAACTGGGAGAGGGCATTGAAATGGGGAAAGGAGAGGCCTTCCATCCAAGCCTGAGGCAGTCTCAGACCTATCTTACCATAAAAAAGAAGACTCTAACATGGAGCCTTCCAACAGGAGAGAGAAAACACAGCCAAACTGGGACATTTTTAAAGTGAGAGGGGGAATGATTACTAATTATGCTGGAATACGACTGTCCTGGGCACACTGTGGTCCTCTTACTAAGAGACACTAATGGGAATCAAGGGCTTTCAGCCTTTCCAACTCTGCCCCCTTTCACTCACTGGAAGCTCCACCATGTAGTCCTGTTGGGCCTGTCTTAACTCTTTCTCTTATTGCCGTGAGAGCAGATGGAAGCCAGGAAGTCTCCATACCAGGGTGCTGTTTTTCAAAGCATGGTCAGTGGGTCATCTTTATTAGTAACATTTGAGGTGCTTACTAAAACTCCAAAATCTTTCATGAGACCTAAGAATCTATATTTTTAATTTGAAGATCAGGATGGATTAGAAGTTGCAGCTAATTCTGAAGTTCTCCAACTTACATGTATGTTGGGTTTCCAAAGCTGTTTAAAATTCCATTTCTTTAAGGCCAAATTGATGGGAATTCTCTCTTTGAGGCCATTATGACCCAGGTGCCAAAAATGTTATGAAAAGAAATTACAGTTTTATTTCACTCAAGGATATACATGTAAGAATTCTCAGTAATGTATTAGCAAATGAAATTTAACAATATATAAAAAAGATACTACAACATGTCCAAGTTGGATTTATGTATGCTAGGATGGTTTCATGTTAGAAAATCCATATATGTAACCAAACACATTAACAGATTAAAGGAGAAAAATATCAGTAGAGAATTTGATAAAATTCAATACTTATTTATGATGTTTTTAAAAAAGATTAGTAAATTAGGAACAGGAAAGAACCTCCTTAATCTTATTTTTTTTTAATTAAAAAACCTAAAACATTCTCAATAGTTGACTGTTAGAAGCATTTCTCTTTAAAATCAGGAACTGGAGTCTAAGCTGGTCTGCCTGAGACTCCTTGAGTGCAAACCCCAGGCCCCTGTGAAGCCCAGTTTCCACCCTAAGATGAGAAGAACCCACCATAAACCAAGAGAAACCTTGCCAAACTTCAGGCATAATTGTGAGGATAAAAAGGAACCACCCTCAGATGATATATAGAGTAACAGATGATATTACAAATATCTGTTACCACAGATGATAAAAAATCTTCAGTTCTCCTTAAAGAAACTAGGAATAAACAGTATCTCTGACTTTTAAATAGGTAAATGTATTTGCAAACCAGGGGTGATGATCCACCTTAACAGTCCTAACGCTCAGAGGTCTCTGGCAGCAAACACTTTCACCATTACCAGCCATGCTGAGACAAAGCCTTTGACAGAAAGGTCACCCCAATCTTAGACCAGCTTGGTGTCAACAAGCTTTCAAGATCCTGGCATAAGCTGGATGGAAAAGCTCCACTTGCTATTGGAGAGGAGGGTGATTTTGTTCAGAATTTTGATGAGGCTTCCAACAGTAAAGCAAAGGGAATTGACCACTTCTTTAAAGAAAAAAAAAAACAAAAATGAAACTTCAAGAATTTTGACTCCTAAAAAATTTTGTTTAGGATATAGTGAAATATCAAAACCTGTAATATTTTAAATTCTGAGGCTCTTGGACACTGCTGCTTTTTAAATTATTGTTTATACAGTTATTTATTTGCAGTTAATTAAGCCAAAGAAGCCAGAACATAAAGTTTTAAAACAAGGATTAATAAAGTCATTGCATCGTTAAAAAAATTCAGAACTAGAGAAGATGTTCATTAGCGCCACTTATGTTCAATATTTTATGGAAAGTTCCATAAGCGCATGAAGACAAAAATAAATTAATTATGGAAGCAAAAGACGTGGAAAGGAGAAAATAAAATATTATTTTCAAATAGTAAGATTTTTTATTTGAAACCCCCCCAAAGTATAAATTTTTAGAAATCATTTAGCAAGATACTTGAAAATAAGATTAATATACAAAAGTCAGTTGCATTTCTATATGCCATAAGTAAACATCTAGAAATTAACTAGGACATTTATAATAGAGTCAGAGAATGTCACATTTATGTCTAGGAATAAATCTGACAAAAATATTCAAGACCTCCATGCACAAAAAATTAGTAAGATCTAAGTAAACAGATATATCATGTTCATGGACAGGAAGACAGTATTATGAAGATATCAGTTTTCCTTAAATTGACTTGTAGATTCAGTTAAATTCCAGTGAAAATTTCAATAAGTTTTTTCATGGTATTTGATAAGATGCATAGCCAAGACACTTTTGAGGCAGAAAAGCAGGAAGAGGGGCTTATTATTAATGTGTAGGAATTAAGATATGTGGTATTATTGGCTTAGGACTAGACAGAATGAACAATGGAAGAGAGAGTTCAGAAAGAGACCTACACACATACATTTCTTTGATATCTGACAAAGATGATATGTCTTTCAGTGAGAAAGACTATTCAGTGAATGAAATTGGTTATTCACAGGGATAATATATGAAACTCTACATACACAAATCAAGTAAAAGGGGATACATGATCAGTAAACATATGAAGAGATATTAAAAGTCACAATGTGAGGTACCATTTTATAACATTCAGTTGGCAAAAAATGTAGCTGTGAGTATAGAGTATTCTACATTGCTGGTGGCAGTGCAAATTGGTATAACCACGTTGGGAGGAAAAAGGTTTAGCATTATTAGGGTTGAATGTTTACATATACTAAGACACATAATTTCTTAGAGCAATATGTACAGCTAGAAACATGTTAACAAGCATGTCAGTTCCCCAAAAGAGTACATGCACAGAACATGATACTATCTATTTTAAGTTTTAAATAACTAGGTATATATACTTTAACAGATTACATATAGGTTTAATAAAACTATACAAAAAGGAAAGCAAGGAGTTTGTGGACACAAGATTCAGGATGAGGGTTACCTTCATTGCTGGGGAAGCGAGGGTGGTGGGATG